AACAAGACCAAACGAATATTCAAAATTTCGCGATATAATTTTAACAATTAATTATCTTTTTCCAGTATTATCAAAAACATGTAAACAAGTTTTCTGAGCTTGTATGTAGTTTGCAAATTTGCGATAAGAAAAGAAAATAATTTATTTGATAAATTATCAAAAAAAAAACAATAATGTTTAACAATAAAGGACCGCCTACAAAAAAAAATGTTTATCCAAGTAATGAATATTCTTTAAGCAATTGAATAGTAATCTCGGTATAATGATTGTTTTACTTCGTAATAGATACGATTGATCATTGTGGTTTGCAGTTGTTATCTTGTACATGTATCAGACAGAGAGAAATCTTGAACGTTTCATAGATTGGAGAGAATACACATTTACAAACACACATATACAGGTATAACATATATATATATAGATAAATCTCACTATGAGGAATATCCGGAGACTTCCCTTACGCAACTTGTCTCAGATTATTCTTGTTCTTTATCTTTGTCTCTATCAATTCACTCTCTCTCTCTCTTTCTCTCTTCTTTAAAGCAGATCAGACTAGATAATATTATAATTCCGTCGTGAACGAGGATGATTACGTATGTATATGTAGATATCTCGTTGATACAAATTTCAGGACGAGCCTTGTAGAACGAAGAATCGTTCGTGCCCGTTTATATCGCATTTGAAGGGCCGATTGAACGTAATGGGTGACGCGTGGGCTCTGACAGGGCGCGCGTGGTCGTCCTGTCTCTTAAGAAAGAGAAGACTATATGTAGAAGGTAACTTGTACAATAAAGAGAGAACGAAAGAATGAAATTAGAGGATGAGAGAGAAAATGAGAAAGAGAGAGAGGGAGAGAGAAATAACGAGACGATGCGATTCTTAACGATAATCATCGCATCCGGGATATGTATTGCAACTATGCTCGAATGAATACCAAAATGTCACTAAAGGTTAACGTTAAGAAATATTTACAGAAATAAATTCATAATTAATAACAAGTGAGATTAACTTTCTTTTTATTTATTTGAAAGATTGTATATATATTTTTATTATTTTTTTAATAGAAAATATAATTGTATGATCGCGTATTCTGGTTCAAAAGTCGTCTATAAGAAATTGTTTCTTGTAAGGTAGATATTTTTTTTTGTTTTTTCTATTTTTCTTGTTATTATTGAGATAAGTAACAACTATGAAAATTATCGTATCGGTGACTATATTTATATATTATCAAAGAACTTCCTGTTTGCTAATGTTTGAAACATATGTTGATCTACGTAATCGAGTAATAACTCTTACCAACGTATGTAAGTGTTTATATTTGCTGGTGGTCCATCGATGTGATTCGATCTTTCTAACTTCTAACTGATGTGAGGAGACATCGGATATTCAGGTAACGTAAGTTTAGCTCGAATATATATATATATATATATATATATATATATATAAAAGAAAAAATGAAATGAGTATATGCAAAAAAAAAATTTCAAGTTTTTTTTCGTCGTCACTTACATAAGAAACTTAAGTAGCAACATGTGTGTGTGTTTTTTTTTCTGTAAGAATGTTTCTTTATTACGTTTTTACATTCTAAATTTAGAAACGATTAATATCTATGAATCGATTTGCTGTAAAAAAAAAAAAAAAAAAAAAAAGTAATGTCCCGAACAACATTTACTTTTTAATATTTAAAATCAATTGTTTTTGAAGTATCGAATTGTGTAGAAAGTTTCGTTGAATTCATATGAATGCAAAAGTAAAGAAAAAAAAAACAAAAACAAATTTATTTTTATATAATATTTTGTACGTTTAATGTGTGACTGTCTTGTATAATTTTTCAGCATGATTTCATCGACCATAAAACGAAGTGCATCTTTGATATCCAAATTTTCAGATTAAAATCGTACGAATCGTGCCCACGCGTAGTACTTGCATCGATACTTGCATCATGTCCATAATTATAATCAATTTTTTTTTTTTTATTTGTTTATTAACTTGAATCATCGCGTTCTTTTCTTATTAGTAATAACCTACGTTTTAAACTACGTTCGAATTTATTTTTACTAAATTTTCAAGACTCGCGTATATTAGAGAGAGAGACTTTGACATGGCATAAGAAAAGTACGCCGTTTAATGAAATAATATTTCTTAGAAGTAAATCGTCTAAAAAAAAATCGGCACAATGCGGGTATTTCTTTTTTTTCAGTAGAACATTAACATTATAGATTCAACATGTCCGTTAGGTGCAGGTGTCCATCTCCGCTTTTGTGCTTCCATTATGCATAATGCAGTGAAGCTTCTCTTGTTGGCTGCATCGTTGTCGTGTCACGGATTCGAAGAGGGTCGGTCGGACTACTCGACATACATTCCCATACATGACGTTTTATATCTATCTTTTTGTATTTTATACTTCTACCGTTGATCCGTTAGGAAGATGATGAAAAAAAAGAGAAGAAGAAAAGAAGAAGAAGAAGAAGAAAAAAAAAAAAGATTAGAAATTCTCAACGAATTAAAATCGATCGGTAACTTCTTTCTTCCGTTCCTCTTTTTTATTTTGTATAACGTGTCATTTGCTTTCAAAAAGCTCGATGACGTCTAAAATTATCTATCGGATTAGTTGACAAGTATTATCAAAATTTTTAATATTCTTTTTATTTTTTTTATATTTATATAAATACACTCTCTAGTATCTTATTTAATAATAATTTTTAGTATTTTACATTTAAACAAATAATAGAACAGAATATATATATAGATGCATAAAAATCAAATTAAATGATCTTTATGTTTCCATATTAAAATAAAAGTAATCAATTAAAATAACGAATTATTTGTTAATTAAAAATTTTGATAAATATAATGTGTACCTTATCCCATGTTGCGTTTTAATGAAAATTAATGATAATATTTGACGATCATTTAATGATTACTTGAACAAATTTATAATGTGTTCGAAATCGTCGACTCTTAAATTTTCTTCCACTAGGACGACCCCTCACCTCACACCCCCTCTAGTCCACCCCTTATGACTGTAATTAAAGTCTCCTTGATCACGCGTATAAGCCTCGTTTATTGCGCACTATGTAATATAACGATGCTTATGTTAGATACATTTGTCAGGAGATAATTATACGATAACTATCGTCCCAAGCTACGCAGTTAGTTTCATTCGCGTGTCGGGTCATTTACCTGTTCTATCATTTCTAAACGAAGTAAACATTTCTAATGATCAACGTACTAATGCATAAACGTTTGTAAATATAATTCATGAAAATCTTCTAAAAATAGATGATTATGTTATTTAAATTTATTATTAATTAATCCCTTAAGTTGCACGCTCGAGTTAACTCGAGCAGCGTTGTATCACGTTGAGCCAAAATTGTTCCTTTCAAGGGATTAATATTATTTATCAATATTATTAAATTAATTGTCAGATTTTTATTCGTGAAAAATATGTAAAAGTTGCATATGACATTTAGGGTAAAAAAAAAAAAAAAGTACAAATATATGTGTAAAGAACGCGAATATGTTTGAAATAGATTTATCAATTGTGTCAATAATTATGAAAGTGATCTAAGTCAAAATTAATAAAAAAAAATGAGTTTATCAGTTATTACGCACTACATTGTTATAAATTAAATAAATTCAATGTCATTTGAAAACGATATTATCAAAAATGAATGAATCGTTAGATAATGTTTGTTATTTCAATATTATATAGAATTCATATAGTGTTCAAGTATAAATCTTGAAATATCTCGAAACAAGAGATACATGATTTAGATCACTTTCATAATTATGGGCACAATTGTCTTATTGATTATTTGGTATAAAATTGGTAATAAAATTTGAATTACATATAAAAATCTATTTTAACATACTAATTCATAGAATCTAAGATTTTTTTCTAAGATATCGAATGATAGGATCTAGACAAAAAAAAAAAAAAGAAAATAGAAGAATGAAACGGTTGATACGAGTACTTACATATATTCAAATCACCTTGTGTTCTCGAGTTAAATATAAACGATTAAAAATAGCCAATCAAGGAGAGAGACTAACGGAAAGAAGACGAAGAAGAAGAAGAAGAGAAGGTACTTGATATACACAGTGTGCTGAGTGAAAAAACACTTCAACTGTTGTGTTTTGTTGTGTTGTGTAGCACTTATATACTGTAGTCGACACTCTTTGGTTGACGAGCGTGCCAGTATGAAAAAAAAAAAAAAAAATAAAAAAAATAAAAAAAAAAACAAACAAACAATGAAGAACCGTCGCGACGCCATGAAACGTTGCACTCAACGTTCTATTGCACTGCATGTACACCTTTTCACTCAACCCCCTACTCTAATTGGCTATTTTCAACGATTTACTACGCGAACAAATTAGCTACATTCGTAACAGTCTGTCTTACTTCGAGTTATCCATCCTTCTAATGATCTCACTTTCACTGACAACCATCTACTACTGACAATGACAACCGAGAGAATCTACTCCTTTTAAATACTCCGACTAGACGTTTTAGAAAGCGATATGTAACTTTTGATATCATCGTTTAACATCAAACAAAACGATAAAACAATATTTTTTCCCCTTTTTGCCAAGATTTACGATCTCTTAAATACTACGTTCTTTTTTCTTTTGATAAAATATCAGATCTATTTATAAGTTGATTTTTTTTTACTTTTTTTTTTTTTTTCTTAAATGAGATAGTAAAAAATCAAAACAGGTTTGACAATTTGAACGTTTACTTTAGTTTTTATTTTGTACAGATTTGATTAGAATCAAGGAAGAGAGTTCCCCCCTTCCCCCCTTTCCCCCCTTCCATTCCCCGTTCCAAGTTCGATGATAAATTCTTGACCAAGTCAACTTTCATTCCAGATTGAGTTAGCAAAAGGTTGTTAACTTATCATCTGGTAGAGAAACGTCGACCACCCAGGTTAATCTCAGCAAATATCGCAAATATCTCGAGACGTTATCGGTCGGTGTGTTTCATTGCTAGGGTGTGTTGCTAGTGAACGTAAGATACTTTATATGTATTATATTATGCATGTATATATTATATATATATATATATATATATATTTTCTACACATTCTTATCGTAGGTAAGGCTTTGAACGGGGATTAGTTATACATGCGGGTTGAGTAAGACAGCTAAGATGACGCAGGAAAGTGCTCGAGAACGCGAACGCACTTAAAAACGTTCGAACAAGTGCCAAGAAGAAGAAGAAGAAGAAGAAGAAGAAGAAGAAAAAAATAAGAAGAAGTAGAAGAAGAAGAAGGGCCTCCAAGGTCTCTCCTTTTCATATAAGAGGGAGAAAGGGATAGAAAGGGAGAGATAACACGCAAAGCCTGCAGAAAAGGGAGACCGAGTCCGTACGAGTAAAAAGGTGCAACTTCCTCGATGGTGTCCACTCGATCGTTTTACCAGCTTCTTCTTCTTCTTCCTCCTCCTTCTTCTATTTCTTCTTCTTCTTCTTCTTCTTCCAATAGGGACGACGATCCACAAACATATCGTTCTTTGTGATCCAAGATGAAGATCCTTCTTCCCATTTCTATCGCACGTTGTTGAGAAATATCGAAACTTTCTTCCTATTGTTGACTCTACTCTACTCGTTTATATCTCAAATATACGGATAACTTTTTATATTTATATTCGATGTGTGTGTGTGTGTGTGTGTGTGTGTATGCATAAGTAATGCGTAGTATTGTTGAGAGTATAATATTTATATTTCGTAATAATTCGATCGAGGAAATTGTACGATGCTTGAAATTTTGTTATATGTGACGTGCAAATCGTATGTTTGATATTTTTTTTTTATATATATAATCAAATAACTTTATTCGTATAATACATTGATTCGTAAATCTAAAGTTATAAAATTAATCTATTTATTATATGCGATACGTGTACACACACATATATATATATATATATATATACTCATACTTATTTTTTATTCATTTTAAATCAAATAATATGAATAATATGATTTATTAGCAAGTGAGGAAAAGAGAATTTCGTTTTTTTTTTTTTTCTAAATAATTATAATATAACAATGAAAAATATTGTATAAATAGGATGACAAAAAAAAAACAAAGAGGAAGGAAAAAACATTCGCAAAAGTTGTTATATAAAATTGCAAGTTGATGGTACATCCGTCGGGTTAGTACGGTAGGCAGGTCATTGCACGATAATAATATCGGGTCCATCGAGCTTGAATATGTGGACGTAAAGCTTTTACGAAAATTAGTATCGGTCGGGACTGTAACGCTAGTGTTGCCTATAAAATAGTCGTATATATCCTACACCGGGTGTTTCGATAGTATATACAGATATGTATATATATATATATATATAAAAGACATTTTATTATCAAAATATTAAGTTGACGCTACACGTATACGTTTATCCTATAGTTGCACCCTCACCTGATCGAAGCGAATTACTACACCTGTGCTATACTATACTTCTCCAATATTACTGGTATTATCGTTCTCAAACGCTCGTGAACTAACCGTACGAGAAACTTGGATTGTTATAAAAGCTTTTGTCGTTTCTTAAACGATCGTTCAAAGTACAATCTGTGGTAATAAGGATTCTATAATCCTATCAATAAAATCTTTAATACCCTAACACGCGAAATATTTATTTTAATATATTAGCTTATTTTCAAAGTTATTATCTCATTAATGAAATATGTTTATATTAATTTTACTGAGAAAGAAAAAGAAAAAGAAGAAGAAGAAGAAGAAGAAAAACTAAATGATAACAGAAAAGATGTATCGATTCGTGTAAAAATGATTATCCCCTATACCATATTGAGTATACATTACTTAAAAGACGTCATCGTTATCATAATCCCAGAAGAAAACAAACGACGAGTTTATTGGGGGCGGGGAGGGGGCGGTGGCGGGGTTCGTTTCTAGAGAAAACGGTCTGTCACAAGATAAGATTTTTATATGGATGTAAAACTTCTTCCCACGTGTAGGGAGATCTCATTTTTTTTTCTCGATATTTGTTTTAATATGTGTGTGTGTGTGTATGTAAAATAAAGACATTGTAAGAAGTTATTATCTACGAGCGTAGTAGAGACATGCTGATGTAGCAGTGCTGAGAAGAACAAGAATACGAAGAAATAGATATAAGGAAAGAAAGAAAGAAAAAAAAAGAAAAGAAAAAGAGTAGAAATAGAAGAAAGATCGTGGGATAAACGCTTATCATCGTAAGATCGTTCGATTATTATCATTTACCTTATATACATCTTGATTTCTTAGTAGAAACGAATAATAATAATAATAATAATAATAATAATAATAATAATAATAAGAAGAAGAAGAAGAAGAAGAATGTATAAGAAGATGAAGAGAAGAAGATGATACGTCATTAGTGAAAAATAGTTCGCCTCAGGTGGTTGCCATTTTGAAATATTTTTCACGTATATTCTCATTCTCAAACCGTGCATACTTTATAAAGTATTTATGTATAAAATTATATACACGTTGGCCGTGAAGTGATTACTTAATACTCAAGAACAATTAAACTCACTTCTTATAGATACAAAGGTATATAAAAACGATGATTTATTATCGGGAAACTTATTGAACCTTCACTATGTTCACAGAAAGAAAGAAAGAAAGAGAGAGAGGGAGAGTAAATACAGTGTCAAACAAAAGTATTAGACATAGATTAAGTTTTTTTTACTTGAAATTTGCAAAATATAGGAGTTTATATATTTCATTGTATTCTTGGATATGTCAGCTATTAAAATACGTTTCAAATAACTTTGATATAATAATATCAAGCTCAGTTAAGTATTTTACAAATTTTCTAATTTATTTTCCATCACTAAATGAAAATTTTAATACATAAACAAAATAGATTTTACAATTTTGATATAATTTATCATTCTTTTTGTTGTTGTCACAATACTTCGTAAATTAAATAATATTTAAACAAATAATATTATCTTTTGAAAGTAAAAAAAAGAAAAAAAAATGATAAAATGAACGTTTCGTGTATTTCATATATTTGTAGGGTCGAGAAAGGAATAGAGGGGTTCGAAAATTGAAAGTTCGTGGAGATCTTTCAGTCTTATATTAGAAAAGAAAATAAGATGAATAAGAATGAAATAAAGGACGTGTGGAGATGGTTTGACGATGGAAAAAGGTATGAAAGAGTTTAAGAGACAGATGCACTTGGCATTCGGTAGTATAATACGGTTTGGCGTGCACCATGATGCGACTTAGGTTGACCAACGTAGTTGTTCGGCGCTGCCTGCGATAGGAGCAGCTGTTTCCAGGCTGGAACGTTTTCAAAATCCGTTCAGTCTCGCCGCGACCGCCGTAGCGGTCGGATCGTAGCTCTGCGAATATTTAACATTTAACTTTACTATCATATTCGTTCTATTCCGCGATATAAATTAAATCATTCGAACATTTATTTATTTTTTTAATATTATTATTCGTTTATCGTTAAACAACGCGTGTTAATTATTATTTTTTTTATTTTTAACTTCACACTCTCTATTTTTCTTTTTTTTTTTATTCGCGAATCGTTAAAACATTTTTAACTTTTTCATTATTATTATTATTATTATAATTGTTTTGTTTCTTTGGCGGGAAATTTAATTTGAATTATTGCCGCCTTTTTCTTCTCCCTCTTATTCTCTCTCTCTCTCTCTCTCTCTCTCTCTGTTTCTCTCTTTCTTGTGTTATTCAGCGTCAGCTATTAGTTTACAAAGAGCGCGAAAACGAAGAACACCACCGTCATCGCCCATCGTCGAAGATTCGCGCGAGTAAAGTTCGAAGATAAGTTTTTCTTAGAAGAAACATTTGGTAATAGTAAAAGCAGACAAGGAATAAGAAGATAAGAAAAATATAAGAAGAAGAAAGTGAAGAGGAAGAAGAAGGGGAATTCGTCGAATATAAAACGGTCGAAGGTAAGCGAGTATAAAAGTTTTACCCCGCCAAAATACTACACTTTCGTATTTTTAGGTTAGTCTCGTTTGGAAGTTGAAACCTAGACTATTTATCGGTAAACGTATTTAATTATTTCTATGATTTGATTAAATTTTTTTTTCTTATGTGTGTGTATGTAATCAACGATTATAATCTTACTCTTTTCTTCTTCTAATAAATAAACGTTGTTAGAAAATTCGAGTAAAATGCGAAAGTATATAAATAAATCTTCTTTACGTTTAATTGTATACAGAATCGTGTTTAAAAAAAAAAAAAGAAAAAAATAGCTCAACGTGCAAGGTCGTACGCGAAAGTGGAATTTTAATCGTGATTCGATTGTTTTCAATTCAAATGGCGTGATAAAGAACACGAATGTGAGAAAGAAAGAATATGTAACATTAGAGAGAGAGAAAACTTTCTTTTTCTCAGATTATACTTGGTCGAGCGTGTAAATAAAGTAAATAGGTACATACGTATATATATATATATTTACTTGTATATACATATATATATTGATGATAGTGTGTACATATAAAGTCGTACCTTGTATATCGAGAATGGTAAGATTCGGTTTTGCTCTCGAGTAATCGTAAACCGTCGGAAGATAAACGATCCGGTGTCAAAACCGCGGTAGGTGCTTTTACGTTGTTGTATGTAAGACTAAAAGAAGGTGGTCTCATTCTCTGGGAACTACGAAAAAATAAAATCAAATAGAAGGGGGAGAAAGAATAAGTATCAAAAATAAAAAAAAAAACCTTACACGAAAGTATTGTACGGGAAAGGTTTTTACAGGTTGTCACGCGAACTCGCTATTTTCATTATTTCTTTTTCTTATAAACATCTTTTTTGTTTCTTTTTTTTTTTTTTTTAATATAGATTTCTTTCTTTCTCGTAAGAAAAATACTCTGTGTGTGTGTGTGTGTTTTTTTTTTAAATAATTATCTCAATAATATACTTACTTTTATGGTATTTGTTATTAATCGTATTAGATTTATTTATCGTTCTTATTTAAATTTACTCGGTCGGTAATGTAATATAAAAATATATATATATATATATTTTTTTTTTTTTGTATTTTCTCTTCACTTTGTCTTTTTTTCATTTGTTTTACAGAGTAATTGAAAATATTCAATAAAATTATATCTTTCTAACTTGATTAAATACAAATAATTTTTCTCGAAGTTTTTTATTATTGTTAATTTATTTGCATTTAAAAGTTGCGGTTGAGATTTAATAACCGCGTAATAAAATTTTATTATCTCTTTGCTAAGAGAGTTGACAGATAATAAATAATAGAATTATCGACCGAGAAATGTGTTGTTAAAAACAAAAAACAAAACAAAAAAAAAAAGCAAACAATATTTCGTTGTCTCTTTAAAATGCTTGACGCTAATTCGATGGATTATATTTTTATAATTAACTACAATTTTCAAAAAGTTTACAGAAACATATTTCTAAATAGCAAATAAATTCAATTTAACGAAGATTCTTATAGGATTAAAAGAAGAAGAAAACAAAAACATAATTAATTATATAATTATATAATGAAAAAATGAAATATTATCATTCACCAACACTTACATTACACCCTAATACATGTGTATTTAATATTTTTCAATATTTTCTGCTACTAGGGCATATTGTAATAACATTGAACTATTATTTGATTAGTTTTATACTTTTATTCATTACCGAATTATAATTTTTACAATTTATTTTTTTGTCATCCTTCAACAAATAATTTTTATTCTATTTTTTTGTTTTTTTTTGTTTTTTAATTTATCTGCACTTCCTCGTTCAAATATTATTACAAAATCGAAAATAAATCTTTGGCGTAATATCATTTGGCCACAATTTTCGTGTTAAACATGAAAAACAAGGCAGAAAAATAAAAAAAATAAATAAAAAAAAATAAAGTAAGACAGAAAGAAAGAAAGAAAGAAAAAAAAAAGTAGAGGTAGAGTGAGATAAAGTGTCATGGCGTCGAAGTTTTTTATAGAACAGTTCTCGTTGCTTCTGCTGCTGCTGCTGTTGCTGCTGCTGCTGCTGCTGCTTCTCCATCGTCTCTTTATTTTTTTGTTATGTTTTCACAAGGAACTAAGTAGGTGTGTTGAAGGGAAGGGGTGGAGAGGTGGGGGGGTAGAGGAAAAGAGTAGAAAAGGGGTGAATGGGGGGTGAGTTTGAAGGCGCGTGCGAGAACGAGCTTCGATCGTTGAAACGACAGGTGACAAAGGCAACGAGACCCATGCTTTTCTCTATCCCATGTGTATGTATGCATGTATTTATATATATATAAATATATGTATGTTGTGTGTGTGTGTGTGTGTTTGTACGCGTATATAGAGAAAGAGAGAACGTGCGTGGTATTGACACTTGTCATTTGACGACGGCCACAACACCACCGTTGCCTTTCTTTTTTTATTTTTATTTTTTTTTTTTTTTATTTTCTTCTTCCTTTTTTCCTCCCTCTTTTTTTCTCTTTGCGTTTTATCTTTCACGGTCTTTTACGTTGGCAGAATAGCTTTTTAAATCTCGGTACACGAGTTATTATTATTATTATTATTTTTTTTTTTCACTTCTTCTTCTTCTTCTTACTCGTACGCGCGTGCAACGTATATTTATATTTATATTTATATATATGAATATATATGTGTGTGTGTGTGTATGTAATTTGTGTTTGGGTATGCATGCGATCCGTTGCGCTTTCATTCGCAGGCCCACCTGGAGAGTTACTTTTTATTATTATTATTATTATTATTATTATTATTATTATTGTTCTTGCATCTTTCTTCAATTTATTTAATTTAATTTAATTTAATTTAATTTAATTTAATTTAATTTTTATATTAAATTTAATTTTATCTTTTATTTTATTTTATTTTGTTGTTTACCAGAAGATGTCTATTCAAATTACGAATACCAATTCAAGATGGAATCGAAAAAAATTTCTTCTACACTCTGTCTACAATCTCGGTTTACATTTTAATCATTTTTCTTTTTCCTCTTTTTAACTGAACTAATTGGAAAGTATTTTTCCTTGCTTTCGTGGAAAAAAATTGGAACTTTTATTCGTAAAATTCATTCGTCATTTTGTTAATGATATAAAAATCTTCATAGTATAATAATAATAATAATAATAATAATAATAATAATAATAATAAAAAGAAATTAAAGTAACGAATAGTGTATAAGAAGGCAATTTAAATTTATTAATATAGAATTTAATTAATTTCAATTGAAAATATTCAGCGTGGACGAGAATAAGAGTTTCGTGTATAAAAGATGAATGAGAAATATTTTTCTAACATATCATTTTATTTTACAATCTGAAAATATTAAATTCAAATCTTTCAATCTAATTTATACACATTTTGTAATTAATTATATTATCATTTTCGTGATTAATAATCCCCCTCTTCCCCTCTACCACCCCTTCTCCAAAAAACAAAGTAAACGAAAATTCATTGAAATATAAATGCGTTCACTTAGAATTCATCTTAGATGACATACACATGTTTGATCAAAATCATCGATCAATTTTTTAATAGATCGAAGTAAAAAGAGTCACTTAAAAGACAAAAAGTATTATATATTATAAAAAAAAAAAAAAAAAA